GCGTGTGCGTGCGTGTTGGGTTGTGCGTGCGTGCGTGTGTGCGGGCATGTGTGCGTGTGTGCGTTGTGTGTGTGTGCGTCTGTGTCAGTGTGTGTGTGTTGGCGTCTGGTGGTGCGTGTGTGTGTGTGTGTGTGCGTCTGTGTGTGTGCGTCTGTGTGTGCGTGTGTGTGTGTTGTGTGTGTGTGTTGGGCGTGTGTGCGTGCGTGCGTGTGTGCGTCTGTGTGCGTCTGTTGTGTGTGTGCGTATGTGTCAGTGTGTGGTTTGTGTGCGTTTGTGTGTGTGTGCGTGTGTGTGTGTGTGTGCGTCAATGTGTTGCGTGTGTGTGCGTGTGGTGCGTGTGTGCGTGTGTGTGTGTGTGTGTGTGCGTCTGTATCAGTGTGTGTGTGTCGGTGTGTGTGTGCGTGCGTGAGTGTGCGTCTGTGTGCGTCTGTGTGCGTCTGTGTGCGTGTTTGCGTGCGTCTGTGTGCGTGTGTGCGTGTGTGTGTGTGTGTTTGTGTGTGTGCGTCTGTGTGTGTGCGTCTGTGCCTGTGTGTGTGCGTGTGTGTGTGTGTATGTGTGTGTCTGTGTGTGTGCGCGTTTGTTTGTGTGTGTGCGCGTGTGTTGCGTGCGTGTGTGTGTGTGCGTCTGTGTGCTTGTGTGCGTGTGTGCGTTTTGTGGTCGTCTGCGTGCGTCTGGTGTGTGTGCGTTTGTGTCTGGGCGTGTGCGTCTGTGTGCGTGTGTGCGCCTGTGTGAGCCTGAGTGTGTGCGTCTGTGTGTGTGTGTGTTCGTGTGTGTGTGCATATGTGTGTGCGTGTGTCTGTGTGTGTGCGTGCTTGTGTGTGTGTGTGCGGGTGTGTGTGTGTGTTTGCGTCTGTGTGTGTGCGTGTGCGTGTGCGTGTGCGTTTGTATGTGTGTGTGCGTGCGTGTGTGTGTGTGTGTTGCGTGTGTGTCTGTGTGCGTGTGTGCGTGCGTCTGTGTGCGTGTGTGCGTGCGTGTATGTGTGTGCGTCTGTGTGTGTGTGCGTTTGTGTCAGTGTGTGTGCGTCTGTGTGTGTGCGTTTGTGTGGGTGTGCGTGTGTGCCTGTGTGCGGGCCTGTGTGCGGGCGTGTGTGCGTGCGTGCGTGTGTGCGTCTGTGTGCGTCTGTGTGTGTGCGTCTGTGTCAGTGTGTGTGTGTGTGCGTCTGTGTGTGCGTGTGTGTGTGTGTGTGCGTCTGTGTGTGTGCGTGTGTGTGCGTCTGTGTGCGTCTCTGTGTGCGTCTCTGTGTGCGTCTCTGTGTGTGCGTGAGTGCGCCCATCTGGGCGAAAAGCGCCGCCAGTGCCGGCGGGCGTGTGCGAGAAAGACAGCAGCCAATTGCCCTCAGCCACATGCGTGGGCTCGCACTTGCGAGAAGGGTCGTCAGTCGTAGCCGTCGGCGACGAGAGGCACCGGCACCAAACGCCACCAGCTAAGTACGCGTGCGTGCCTGCTTGTGCGAAAAGGGTCGGTTGTGGCAGCAGGCAGAGGCGTGAAAGACAGCCGCCAGGCGTCCTCGGCTCAGTACGCGCAGGCGTGAGACCCGCACGCGCGAGGCAAGCTGGCGGCGCCAGCGGGCAGAACCCAGACGTCATCGGCTGCAAGCGTGGGCCTCTGCGTGCGAGGAGAGCCGCCCCTCCATGAGTATCGCACCGAGACGACGGGACCCGCTGCCCACTGCGGGCCGTCTCGGCTCAGAGCGCCGCCCCGCGGGGGCCCGCTCGCGGCCGCTGGCTGTGCGGGCCAGACTTGGCCGGCAGCGGCCCCCTCTCGGCACTCGGCGCCCGGCCCGCGCTGCAGTGGCAGCGGCCGGCGGCCACAGCAGCAAAAGCCACACGCCATGAGTTGCAGGCGGGGGCCCGCGCGTGCGAGAAGGCGGCGGCAGTGGCGAGGGCGGCAGCAACCGGAGGTCGCCACCTGCACCCGCGAGAGCAATTCTGGCAGTGTCGGGCGGCGGCGCCCTCGAGATGGCCCAGCGTGCTCGCGAGGCCTTCCTCGCGAGGCGCCAGACTATCGAACGCCGGCAGAGAAGAGAAGAGCAGGCAGCGGCGGCAAACGGCGGTGAGGAAGAGGAGAAGGAGGAGGAGGAGGAGGAGCGCCAGACGCCATCAGCTACAGGCACGGAAGAGAGTGCGCGAGAAGACCAGGAGCAGTGGCAACAGAAACTGGGGCGCCATCAGCTACAGGCTCAGAGTGGTGCGAGCGAGGAGAGGTGAGAGGAACAATAGCCTGCGCCGCCGGCCCATCAGGCCAGCGGTTTCGGGCCGACCGCGGTGCCCAGCGGGATAAGCAGTGGGACGAAGACGCTGCCAGCTGCAGGCTCGCAGTGGCGCGTGCAAGAGGAGTCGGCAGAGGCAGCATGCAGGGGCGCGCGAGAAGGAAGAACAGTGGCAACGAAAACGTCACCAGCTACAGTATCGCACTGGCGCATGAGCGACTGCGCCAGATCCACGTTCAGAGCCCTGGCAGGGCTGCGCGCCGCCTCCTATGCCTGTGCACTCGGTCGTCTGGGCTACGCGGACTTCTCGAGGAGCAGGAGGGACGAGGAGGAGCCGCATAAGCAGCAGGGGCGCGGTGGAGGAACGGCAACGGCTGACAGCGGAGGCAACGCCGCGGAAGACAGCTACGAGTTCCAGTACGTCAGCTACGAAAGTGGCACAACGAAGCACAAGCCCGATGCCTTCAGCTTCGAGGTTGGTACGGCGAAGGACGAGCCCCATAGCACCCGCCACGAGGACGGTAATAAAGCGGAGCAAGAGCCTGAAGCCATCAACTGCGACGTTGAACGGCCAACGGCGTACCGTCATGGGCTGGACGCGGTCGCCCTGGCAGCAGGCGGTCGTTCACGATAACGCCGCTTGCGTGACCTACTGGCCTGGCCTGGCCCAGTGGCTCCAGAAGCCTTTGACCGATTCCCTGGCGAGCGTCTGCGGGTTCGCAGCCCAACGGGGCCACCGAGATGTAGTGATCACAGCTGCTCGCCACCGATGTGCGAAGGCCCAGCAGTCGAAGGCGGCGGAGGACGAGGAGAAGGACCTGTCCGACATCGACGAGGAGGGCGCGGAGGACGCGGGCGGAGCACGTGGAGCGGTGGGGCAGGACGACGCCACAGAAGCACCGCGGCGCGACAGGTGCACGCTCCACGAGCGCAGCGGCACGCCGCCGGCCAGCCGTCGAGCGAGGCGGGGAGTACGAGCACGACGCCATCGGCTGCAGGCTCGAGCTGGTGCGCGAGGGAAGGGCCGCCACAGAGGCAGCCAGCGGTGAGGCGAGCGGGGCGTGCGGGAAGGGCCAGCAGAGGCAGCCCTCAGATGCGTCACCAGCTCTGGTGGAGAGGGCGGAGAGAGGGGTCGACCGGGGCGGCGAGAAAGAGCAGGAGAGTTGCGGCAGGGGCATCCGCAGCAACTGCAGGGGGAGTCTGGGCAAGGGTTCGGGCCGAGATGGCAAATCTCACGGCGAGAGACTGGTGGTCTACGTTGGCACTTGGCCGTACCTCGCTGACTGGCGCGACCTCGAGGACCAAGTGAGACATGCAGGCAACGCGAAGTACTGCAAGGTGCTCACCGAGGACGGCACAAACCAAAGCATATCGCTGGGAATAGGGCATGCGACAGCCCCCACCGAGGACTCGTTCGACCTGGCCGCGGCGGAAGGGCGGCATCCCGAGTTTTGAACCTCGATCGATCCCACAGGTCTGGATCTTGTCTCCAGAACAGTTTGTTGTATCCCGAATCGTCTTCTTTGGGTCCCGTGGCCGTGGAGGGCCGCCGGAAGCCGAACGAAAAAATCGCCGTCGTTTTCGGAATCACAACCTGGGGATGTGGGGGTTATCGGGGGGGAGACACAACAACAACAACAACAACAACAACAACAACAACAACAACAACAACAGCAGCAACAGCAACAACAACAACAACAATAATTTTAAGACTGTTCGCCCTTATATGCTCGAGTATCCAATAACGCGTATTTCCCGAACCCTCGATACCCGCCCTTTTCGTCTTCTACCGAACCCCGTTTGGGGGTATATTTTTCTTCCCTGCAGGCCGGGCCCCGGCAAGCGGCGGGGCGGCCGCGGACCGTCGGCCTGGCCAGCGGTAGCGCTGATCGGCGGGGCGGCCGCGGACCGTCGACCCGACCCCAAGAGGGACGGACAGTGGACCGACCACGACGACGACGACGACGACGACGACGACGACGACGACGACGACGACGACGACGACGACATCGAAGACGACGGCGACGACGACGACGACGGCGACGACGAGCGAAAGCGAGAGCGAGAGAGAACGACAGCAGGGCCACGAAGGGCACGAATTAGGCCACGAAGGGCGACAGCGGGGACACGAAGGGAATGCGCATGGGGCCACGAAGAGCGCGAACGAGCGGGGGCCACGAAGTGCAGATAATGCGGGGCCACAGAAGGCAACTATGGGGCCACTGAGGGTAGCAACTGGGCCGCGTAGGAGAATGAGGGGGACACAAATGGCGACAGCGGGGCCACGAAGGGCATGCACATGGGGCCACAACGGGCGCGACTCCTGGGTGCCTGGGTGTCGGGAGCGCGGCGCTTGGGCAAATTGCAAGAAAATCCAACGCAAGGCCATTCTTCAGTAAGTTGCAAGCAAGTCTCCAGCGAGAGCGCGACTCAAAAGCGCCGGGAGAGCGATTCTTCAATAAATTGCAAGGAAATCCCACGCGAGAGCGCGATTCCTGAATAAAATGCGAGGACGTCTCGGGCGGGAACGGGGGTCCTGGCTAAATTTCAAGGAAGTCTGAGGCGGGAGCCGTTGTTGTTGTTGTAACCCGGGGGCCAGAGGGGCCAGTTTGAGCAGGAAGTCTCTCCCTGTCCAAAAAAAGGGTGCGAGCGTCGAGCGGCACATTTTGATTGAGAAAACACAGTATGCACCAGTGGGGGGATCAACAAAAATTATTTTTCATGAGTGAATTCATCAGCAGCAACAACAATCGGAGATCTGGGTGACTGCCGCCCCCCTCCCCCGCCCGAGGACTCGTTCGACCTGGCCGCGGTGGAGAGGTGGTTGGCCTCGGCGCCCGACAGCATCGCCGCGGGCTCGGGGACGGGCCTGGACGCCTCGGGCATCGCGCAGGCGGGTGCTGCCGAAGAGGCGGCGGGGAGGGAGCGAGGCAGGCAGCGGGAGGGAGGCAGGAAGGCAGGAAAACAGCGGGAGGGAGGCAGGGAGGGGGCCAGAGGACTGGGAGGAGGAGGAGGAGGAGGAGGAGGAGGAGGAGGAGGAGGAGGAGGAGGAGGAGGAGGAGGAGGAGGAGGAGGAGGAGGAGGAGGAGGAGGAGGCGGAGGCGGGGGAGGAGGAGGAGTGGACCTTGTTAGTCACGCCCTGCGCTTCGCCGAGCCTTTCATGATCGACCTGATCGTGGTGAGCGCGCTCACGCAGGACGCCCTCGCGCTCGGCTGTGCGCGGCGGGACGGCGCGGCACCGTCGGCCGCGGCGCGGCCGAATCGGGCCCGCTACCCCTGAGTGGCCGTCGTCCCCTTCGTGGTGGAGGACCACGTCCGCCTGGGCGAGGAGGAATTTGCTTCGGCGCGGCTACTAGCACCCGCCCGCGACGCCAGACGTTCCGCGGTCACCAGGCGACCGCACCACTTGCCCGCGTGCGTCCTGCAGCGCAACGCCGCCGACTCGGTCCCAGACCCCCGACGCCATGATTTGCTCACGACGTCGGCTTTTCACCCTGACTAGTTTTGGACGGTCCCGCGGCCCAGTCAAGGCCCCCTCCAAACATCCTACCATATGATTTGTTCATTCCGCGTCCCCGGAGCTCCCGACCGTTAATTTTGCGTCCCGGATTCGTTTTTGATGGCCCCGGGGCCCGATGACGGGCCCCGGAGGCCGAAGAAGCCCAGAGGAGGAGCCCGAACGAGCCTCGGGCCCACGGCCAGGCAGACCCTGGGCAGGGGAGCCCGAGGGAGAGCAGCTGCTGGTGCCTGCCCCCGCCGCCCGACCCTTCCGTGTTTGCACGGAGCCCGAGCCGCAGCCGCAGCACCAGGCGGCGCCGCAGCGACAGCCGCTGAGCCGCGCCCGCGCAAAGTGTGGCTGTTCTTCGCCTCCCCCCTTTCCCTGGGTAAGGGGGGCTTCTTTTTTGGTGCCCAGCGGCGTGCGTCAATCAAGGCCCAGCGTGCCTGCGACCGGTCGATCGATGCCAGAGCGCAGTTCGTGCCCAGCTCAGTGCGCCTGCTGCCTTCCTCTTGCAGACTTCTTCGGGCTCCTGAATCCCCAGCTCCCAGGAAAACACCCGGATTGGAAAAATCATGCCGTCGGAGACCTGGGCCAGAGGCCGAAATTAGCGAAAAAACGCCCGTGGTGAATGTTTGCCCTGATTCGAAGGGGATCGCAGGGCTGGACCGCTGGTGACGACGCAGGCGCAGGGCTGGGCCGCTGGTGCCAACCGGGGTGACCCCGCCGGGGGCTGTCGCCGGGTCGGCCGGAGGCTTCAGCGCCGCTGGCGAGGGCCGCACTGGACTGGACCGCGGGGCGCGCTGGGCGAAGGCGGCTGGTGCCCGTGGCCGCCGACGTTTTCCCGCTGGTCCCCGTGCGGATCCTGGGCGCGCCGGGATGGCCCAGATCTCCGACGCGGGGCGTTTTTCCTTGATTTCGGCCTCAGGGGCCCGCTATCGGGCCCAGGGGCCATCAAAAGTGGATCGGGGGCGCAATATGAACCCCAGGGAATGGGTCGGGAGCTTCAGGGCCGCGGGTGGAAAAATCAGACTGGAGGATGTCTGGGTATACGTCGTCCCTGTCCTGATCCCAGGCGCGCCGATGGCACAACCCCTTACCCCCGGGGCGCGGCTGCTGGTTGATTGCCCAAGCGCTCCTGCCCGGCACTGTCCAGCGGCGCCGGCGCTTGGCACTGGGGGGCTGCGCTGACACGCAATCAATGCGCCACGGACTGCGCCCCCGCCGCCGCTGGCGGAGGAGGAGGAGAAGGGGAGGAGGAGGAGGAGGAGGAGGAGGAGGAGGAGGAGGAGGAGGAGGAGGAGGAGGAGGAGGAGGACGACGACGACGACGACGACGAGGAAGAGGACGAGGACGGGGGAGGGGGAGGGGGAGGAGGTGAGGCAGCAATGGGGGGGGCAGGCAGGCAGGCAGGGTGGCAGGCAGGCAGGCAGGAGGAGGGCGAGAGCCGTGATCGCCCGAGAGGTTAAAGCGGGCCCCCCCCCAGGAGCCGCGGCTGCGGCCAGGTGCGACGCCCGCGCGCGGGTCCTTCCGCCAGGGTGTCCGCGATGGTATACCGAGATCAGTTCTCAACTTTTGCCGGTGAAGCCACAATGTATTATACACCGTGGCCGCGATGCATGTGCTCGAGTCGCCAGGGTCGCGTTACATCGGGTCGCGGCGACCCTCGGACATGCTTTCAGCGAGGTTTGATGCTCCTTGACAGAAGGTACAGGGCGCGAGCGCAGGACGTGGCTCGGCAATTCGGACGCGCCGCCGCGGTTGTCGCGCAACAAAACACAAGCACTTTACTCAAAGGTTTGCGTCCTTTGGCAAGTAGCTCCTTCAAAATCATCGTGTGAATTTTCCGCTTCCACGTATAGTACGCTTATGCTTGTTCCCAAAGCAATCCCAACAGGGAAGGCACATCGCTGCACCGACGACGCAGCGACAACACACAATGCGACGCCCGGAGTACGCAACGCGTACCTCACCGACAACCGTCACGATGTTCAATACGGGCGATTGCTTTGGCGCGGAGCCAACAGGCAGCAACAGCGGCCACACCTATACGGCGCAACGCGTGCTTGATGTCGGGGTTTTGGAATCGTGATGCCCTAAACCCACACGCCACTTAGCAATGTGAGCGTCCCAATGATGGAAACAACCTGCGCATATACTACAGATCGGGGAGGCGCAGCATGTCGATGGCCGCAAGTACTGCTGGCAGCCGTGCCCACAACGGCAACCCAACGGACATCCTCAACGGTTCGTCCGTGCGCGACTGGGACAATTTCCAGCGTGGTTGGGACCAGATTGGGCGGCCCGCACTACTTCCAACGAGGGCGGAGCTGGCTTCAGCGGCGATGGTGGGAGGCACCAATCCGTGCGTCGACGGGCCCCGCTGCCAGGGGGTGGGATGACCAGGATGTGCCCTACGGGTCCCGCGCCCCGCCGCGCCCCGAGCGGCCGCATGCCCTGAGAGGGAGCCCCCTGGGCGGCCGGGGAAGCGGCCACAGGGGCCGCTGGCCGACCGACGGCCAGCGCCGCTCGCCCGCCCGCGGGAGCGCAACCCCGGCTGGCCGCATGCAGTGAGAGTTATCCAGCGGAGGGCATACCCGGGGAAACGGCCATAACATGGGGCAGCACCGGCAGCGCCGCAGCAGGCGATGATTGCGGCTACAACACCGTCCCCAGCCAACCTATGCTGCGACAGCCGCGTCCTACCACTCCTCATCGAAGGTACCCTCTGATTTCGCACCCGCGGTGCATCCAGAGAGCCCCGCTGAGGCTCCTAAAACCATTCACAACGTTGGTGGGCCGCCACTGGCGTGAGCAACGGACGGACGCTTAGGCTCCTGAGTGGCCACCCGCACCGCGCGCCCACTAGCCACAGACAACGTTCGTCTCCCTCGCTCCGCGCGCGCAGACAATTGCGCACTCCTTCTGCACAATTTTCAGAGGCAGAGCGCGTGTCTCAACACCGTTTTGCCGTGCTCACTTTTGCGCATCGACGATGGGTTTCGCATCCCCTTTCTTCGCCTCCCGCCTTCACAGATTCCTCCCCGCCGACCCCCTCCCCTCCTTTTCTTTGGCATGCGCCCGCGGCGCGGGCAGACACACCAAGCGGGAGGGCAGGATGATGGCCGAGAGGGTCGCTGATGTACGGAGATGGGAAGGAGGCACCAGCCAGATCGCCGCCAACCGCGGCCTGAACACTTGATCCCCCGCCGATGCCATGCCGGCGCCCAGGTGCATCGACAGCAGAGCCGGCGCCGATGCCGAGGCCGCGATGGGGGTCAGATCGCCGACCTCCTCCGCCTTCGCCTCCCGCCGCCGCCCGTTGCCACCCCCCTCTGCCTTGCTGACGGTGCTGAGCCCGGAGCAGAGCACGACGCTTGAGAACACTTTCTTCCCCCGTCCCCCCTTTTTTCGACTACACGTAAGAGTGACCTTTCGCTGGAGTGACCTTTGGTGCGGGCACAGATGGGCCCCCAGATGGTCGAAAGAGATGCGGTAGCAGCGGCTTGCGCGCTTGTTTTTGTCCCCCCCGCGGTCCCAAGAAGCCGCGCACCAAAGGTCACTCTTACCCACGGTCACTTTTGCGTGTAGCCGATTTTTATCGCCCCCATTAATTCACGCCCAAGGGCCGCCCTGCTCCTCCTGCTCTTCCTGAGCTCGCCGTTTCTTGGCCAGCCGCCCGGGCGCCTCCCTGCGAGGCTTCTCGGTCCTGGCGATCATGTCGACCGCCTCGGTCTCTTTGGCGTCCAGGGTGGCCCGCAGCGTCTCCAGGTCGGAGTTGACCTTCCTGCGTTCCTGCTTCTCGTGCTCCTCGCACTCCAGCTCGTCGAGCCATTCGAAGAGCGTGGTGTCCCAGCTCAGGCTGAACTTGGCAGCCCTGGCACTGGAACTCCCTCGATCTTCGCGAGGGCCTCGGTCGTGCTGCGCCTGGCCCTCCCCGCTGAGACGAGCTGCTACGCCGCAATATGCTCCCTCTCCTCGGCCACTCAGAAGCTCTCGGTGAGTCTGACAACGTTGGCCAATGTCAAGTCGGGCGTGTCCCTCTACAGGAGGAATATTCCAAAGTAGTCCAAATATAGTCCGGCGACGATCTTTGGGGTATGTTTTGGACTCAGTCTGAACATTTTGGGGGTATGTTCGATTTGTCCTCCAAAATTCCCCCATTGGGGGGCATGCCCGACCTAAGGCCAATGCTTGACTCTGCTTGTGATCGGCGTCTCGCCGCGCGCCCACGGCGCGCGTCACTCACGGGCGCGGCAGGAGGACGCGCAGGCGTGGCGGGCACGATCTTCTCCACCTGCGCCCGCAAGGGAGTCCTCTCACCTTCGCCGTGCCCGTCCCCCGGGTAGCCTGAAGTCGGGCCGGTCCCTCTACAGGGGGAATGCAGTCGAGCATCCGATTAAGAAACCTTCTCTCGGGAAGCTGGGCCAGCGTTTTTCAACCAACTTGTCCGAAAGCTGGCCCAGTTTCTTGAGCGCGTTCGCCCCACCATCGTTAGCACGAACACCTGGCCCACGTTCGTCTTACGAAACTTCCAGAAAGCTTGGCCGGGTTTCTTAAGCTATATGTTTCGTGATCATATGTTGGGCTGTATTCAAACATAGACAAACAATAACTAGTCTGGGGACGATGTTTCCATCATGTTTCGACTATGGTTGGGCTCTTGTTGAGAATCTTGCATTTTTCTGCCAAAATCCACCTGTCGGGGGACCTGCCCGACCTAATGATTGCCTTCTGCTGCAGGCGTCACGTTGGCCTCCGTCTCTCGTCGGCCGCCGCCCCTCCCGTTCTTCTTGGGAGAGCCGTCGCGACTAGTGGCGCCGTCCTGCTGGGACTGGTCCTGCGACGAAGACTGAGCGGTGTCCTGGTGGCGGGGCTTCGGCTCGAATAGCTAAACTTCCCGCGTGCAGGAGCTGCGTCGGCACGATTGCCTGGATAAAATGTCCCTCCACTCGTGGCGACCGCATCCAGCGCACTGAGACCATGGACGAGAGAAACCTGTCATCACTTCTGTCTGGTCGAAGCCAGCAGCTGCAATATGATGCAGCTGCTGGCGTGGTGTCTCCAGCGCCACGCGCAGGCGTAGAAGTGGGGCGCAAGCAAAATGCTCAAGCCCAGGTTGCTCGGGAGGAGGAGGGGGAGGGCACAGGGAGGGATGGATGGGTGGGAGGGAGGCAGGAAGGGATGAGGACAGACGAGGCACGGAGGACGGAGGAGCCAGCTCTTCTCGCACGCATCGCCACGAGCGCCCCCGAAGCGCCACGAGGGAGGATCCTAAACAGTCGGGCGCGCGGGGTCCTGCCCCTGCCGCTGGGGCCTCGGACGCAGGAAGTGCACAGGACAAGCTCGAGATGGCGGCGCCTCTGGCTGTCAGGATGCCCCGAAAATGCCGTCGAGGCCGCCTGGATCGAGGCCGCCACACTGGCGACGCAGTCTGCCGAGGGAAGAAGCGCGCCGACCGCGACCACGCTGCCGCGGGATCCCGTCGACGCCGAGATCTCGGTCATGGTCCATGCCGGCCGTCGCCGACTCGCGATCGTGATTCTCGAATGGACGTTGGCCACTATGGACGAAGATCGACGCCGACTTCTCTGCGCTCAGTGACCGTGGAGGGAGGAGGAGGAGGAGGAGGAGGAGGAGGAGGAGGCGGAGGAGGCGGAGGAGGAGGAGCAGGGAGAGGAGAGGAAGGGAGAGTAGGAGGAGGAAAAGGAGAAGGAGGAGGAGGAGGAGGAAGAGGAAGAAGAGGAGGAGGAAGAGGAAGAGGAGGGGGAGGAGCAGGATGGAGGACATCAGGCAGGCCTAAAGGGGGAACACAAATCTCTCCAGGGCGTTCCAGAACACTCCCGGAGCGCTCCGGAGTGCGCTGAAACGGCCGCGGCGCCTGGTACATCCTCCAGACCCTGACGTGCTCTGATTTGATTTTTTTCCATCCGCGGCCCCAGGAGTCCGGGCCCCTTCCCAGGTCGTCCGTTTCTGTTGGCCCGGAGCTCGAAAACGGCCCCGAGGGCCGAATGCTAGGAAGACCTGCCGCTTGGGAAGAATGTATCGTCCGAGATCAAAGGGCCCGCCAGCTCTCCGAGATTCCCGGTTTCTCTTCTTTCGAGCTGTCGGCTTTACCTTGCCTTCGTCTGGAAGCTTCTTCTCTCCTTATCGCCCTTTCTCCCTCCTCCTGTGGCTGCCAGCTTCGGGCCAGAGTCGACTGACTTTGGGGCGCCGCCTGATGTCTGCATGCCTCCTTTTGTTTTTTTGAGATACGACGTTGCGAAAACAAAAATCATCGCGACAAATCACGACTGGTGGCCTGGACACCATCTTGGTACGGCATGTTTAGAGCCCGATCGATTTGTGTTGGTCCTGTGGCCAGCGAAAGCTCCCAGCGTGAAGAACTTGCAACGCCTGGATCCCAGGGGTCTTCCAGACCCACCTGCTCTCAGGGATTCCGGGCTTGTCTTCAGATCTTTCAGCTTCACCCTGACTTCGGATTCGCCTTACTGTGGGCGATGTTGCAGCTGGGGCGGAAACTTCCGCCCTGCTTTCAAGCTTCTTTGATGACGATTTCCGCCTTATGTTGCCGCCGCCCAGTTTCTGCCATACGTTGGCGGAAGTATCCACCCTACTCTTCCTGAGCCGTACATTTCCGCCTGTTGTTTCGCATTTGGTGTCCATAATTTCTGGTAGTACGCCAAAGTACGCCGGATCCGAAGTCAGGGGAGAGAGGCCCTCTGTTGGAACGACCGTCAGTGCACGGCTTTTAAGGAGCGCGGAAGGTTCAAAGCCACGCAGACCTCCATCGTCGCACTGCGCGCGGCGATGGGCAAGCTGCGCCCAAAGGTCACTCCTTGCCTAGGGTCACTCTGGCATGTAGCCGACGGTCGGGACGCCTACCCCCCCTTGGGACAGCCCGAGCCTCCGCAGAAGAGCAGCTCCAACGCAGTCACAGGGGGGTCGTTGGGGCATCGCTCCTCCTCCCCCCGCCCCCCCTCCGTACCCCCCCCAGCTCCCCCTTCCTCCGTCCCTCGCCCACTCCTCCTCCCGCCCTCCTCCCTCGTCGAGAAGTGCGGCGGACCCGATCTTTCCGCTTCACCCCGCCCGCCCACCTCCGGAGGCGGCGGCCAGCTCGGGCAGCGCGCGGGCGTCGGCGGCCGAGGCGGCGGCCTCCACCCCAGGCGCCGACGCGGCGGCCGCGGCGGCCGACGCTGGCCGCGCTGCGGCGGCCACCGCCGGGGGGGCAGGTCCGGCGTCGGAGGAGGTCCGAGGATAGAGGAGCTCCTCCTCCTCCTGCTCCTCCTCCTCCTCCTCCTCCTCATCATCATCCTCCTCACCATCATTATCAGCATCAGCAGCATCATCATCATCATCATCATCATCATCATCATCATCATCATCATCATTATTATCATCATCACCACCATCATCATCATCATCGTCCTCCTCTTCCTCCTTCTTCCTCCTCCTCCTTATCATCCTGCAGCTCCTCCTCCTTTTCCTCCTCCTCATCATCATCCTCATCCTCATCATCATCCTCATCATCAGCAGCATCATCATCACCATCGTCACCATCCTCATCAGCGACACTATCGTTCTTCTCCTCCTCCTCTTCCTCCTCCTCCTTATCCTCCTGCACCTCCTCCTCCTCCTTCTCATCCTTCTTTCTTCCGCCCCCTCCTCTTCCTCCTTCCTCCTCCTTCTTATCCTCCTGCAGCTCCTCCTCCTCCTCTTCCTCCTCATCATCATCATCACCCTCAGAATCATCAGAATCATCAGCATCATCATCATCATCATCAGCAGCATCAGTATCGTCATCTTCCTCCCCATCCTCCTCTTCCTCCTCCTTATCCTCCTGCACTTCCTCCTCCTCATTATCCTCATCCTTTCCTCCCACTCCTTCTGCTCCTCATCCTCCTCCTCATCCTCATCCGTATCATCCTCGTCATCATCATAATCATCATCAGCAGCATCAGCATCAACATCATCATCGTCCTCCTCTTCCTCCTCCTCCTGATCCTCCTGCAGTTCCTCCTCCTCAGTTTCCTCATCATCATCCTCTTCCTCATCATCATCATTATCATCATCACCATCATCATCAGCAACAGTCCTTCTCGTCCTCGTCTTCTTCTCCTCCTCCTCCTCCTCCTTCTCCTCCTCCTCCTCCTTCTCTTCTTCCTCCTCCGTCTCCTGCTCCTCCTCATCCTTCTCCTCCCCCTCCTCCTCCTCATCCTGCACATCCTCCTTCCTCTCGTCCTCCTCCTTCTTCTTCTCCTCCTCCTCCGTTTCCTCCTCCTCGACCTCATCACCATGGTGGCTGGGTATCGGTTGGTGGGAAGGACCCAGCGGGCCAATACTCGGGAGGGCGCGCGCGACAATTGCCATTTTGGGCTCAAGAGCTCCAAACAGGCCGCGCGCGCCCAGCACCGACCGCAGATCGTCAGCCATGGAGAGTTCGTGGCTGCGTGTTTTGCACGTCGTGCAGGGCGGCGAGGCCTTTCAGCAGCTGCTGGAACAGTTGGGCGTAGATTCCGTCGACATGGTGTTGGCCATCAGCGAGTTCGAGCCCGACGCGTTCCGCAAGGGCTTGGTTTCCTTATCTCATGGGAAGCCAAATCCTGACGGCGGATGGCCAGCCCTGATTGCGGCTCATGCCGAACGATTGGATTATCTATTCGCTGTTGTCTGCGCGATGGCCCCACGAGCAGCGATAGACAACGAGAAAGAGCTGCGGGAGACATTACATGTGGGGCGCCGTTTGGACAAACGCCAGCTGCCCCAAGTGGCCCCGATCAAGAGGAGCGGCCAGGCGAGATCCAGAACGCCCTGCAGTACGCGACGCGGGCCGGGGGCGCCAAGAGATGAGAATGGCGTGCCGTCTTTGCGGATGGCAGAAGCCGATGCAAAGCAGCGCTGGGTCAAGCGCCTCGCGGCCATCGTGGACAGGGCTGGGGCAGCGGCGTCTGTTCTTGTCGACCTGCGGCCAGTCGCGGACATGACGGGCATGAACCTTCACGATCTGTTGTATTCAGTGCTCGCACGTGGAGCGTGGTCGACTCTTCGGGGGCACGTGCTCGACTGGGAGCGGTTCGAGCGCTGGGCCGCGAGCAAGGCGAGCGTGTACCCGCCGAGCGAAGCTGTGCTGGTCGCCTACGCCGCAGACAGGAGCCAGCGGTGCGGCCCATCTGTATTGCCGGCATTTCGAGCTACGGTGGCGTGGGTGGGCAAGCGCATCGGGATGCGTGTCCCCGAGGCGGACATGCCAGCTCTCCTGGCGATTGAGGACGGCGTTTGCGACAGGGTCAGCAAGGAGCTCAAGGAAGCGACCCCTCTTCACATCCAGCTCCTGCGAACTCTGGAGCTGAGCGTGGCCGCGTGGAAGACCGCCGGTCTCCATGTGAGGGCGGCGCGGGCGTGGCGGGTGCTCTGCATGACGTGGGGCAGCATGCGTTTCGATGACGCCCTGCATGTGCGTCCCGATAGCATCACGGACGTCGGCGACGCAGTGCGGTTCGTGGCGTGGCAGACCAAGGTCGAGCGCAAGAGGCGCGGCACGAAGTTCGCAGTATGCAAGGCCACGCCCACGGACGTAGATTGGGTCACCGAAGGGCTGCAGCTCTACAGGTCGATATTGTCCGCGGACGCGCTGCAGTCGGATTTCTGGCTGGTCGACGGCACGCTGGACGACATGCAGTTCGACATGCCGCTCACTGGCAAGAGGTTCGTGCGCATGCTGCGGGAGCTCGCGGCCCAGGCCGTGGCGGACAATCCCTTGGGGCTTACGGCCGAGTTGGTTCGCGAGGTGCAAGCGCAAACCGACGTGGCCACAGCGCACTCTCCGCGGGTTACGGCGATCTCGCTTATGGCCCATGCCGGGGCGGAGATCACGACGCTACAGCTGCAAGGGAATTGGCGGGACTCGAGGATGCCTGCCAAATATATACGGGATCGCAAGCAGATCCCCGTGAACTTCATATCCGGCATGGCGCGCACCATGCGCCAGAACTGGAGCGCCGAGCTCGCCGATGAGGCGGGCAAGTTGGTCCAGGCAAGCCTGAATGCAGCTCCAGTCGCAGATGGCGGGGGCACCTCGGTGGCGCAGAGCGAGGGCGGCGTGGATGGCAACGTCGGGGGTGCAGACGCGGCCACGGCAGCACAAACCACGGCAAAGGACTCGCACCCCATGGATGTTGACGTGGAGATGGAGTCCGATTACGACGTGACCGAGTTGTGCTTTTGGGTGAGCGCGAAGGCGGAAATCTATCCCACTAGCGGAGGCAATGTCGTTCTATTCTCCCTCTACCTACTCCCCAAGGAGGGCATGCAGGGCAGCAACTTTGAAAAGATCAAGGCGCTCTCGACGGTCATTGGGAGCATCACGGGCCCTTGGATTATCATGGCAGATTGGAATATGGCCCCATCCCTGGTCGAGAAGTCGGGCCTCCCCACGCGCCTGGGAGGCAAGGTGATCGTTCCGAAGATTCAGATCACCTGTGACAAGGGCAAGGGCAGCCTCATAGATTTCGCCATGGCTCGAGAAGATATTGCAGATGGCATCACCATCGACGGTCATGAGAAAGCACCATGGAGGACACATACGGGGCTACTACTCAAACTTCCTGGGCGCTCGGAGGCTTGGTGGCACAGGCATTTGGATCTCCCCAAGCCGTTGCCGCTGGTGCTCCCACCAAAGAAGGCCCCTGACCCAGAGAGCAAGCGCAGCAAGAAGAAGGAGGCAGCACAACAGATGAGACTGGCAGAACTCCCAGAAGAATTGCGCGAGGAGTTCAACGTGCTCGAGCCTCCACTGACCAACGCGCATCAGACGGTGCAATATGCGATAGACGAGGGCCAGTGGGATCAGGCCAGCCGCATCGCCATTGGCCCAGCGCTGTCCAAGCAGATGCACGAGTTGGAGGCCAACCTCCTCATCCGAGGAGAGCACCAGAAGCTCATGGAGCAGGCGATCACAGGCGAGTATGCGATCTGGGTCACCACACTGGAGGAGGCGATCATTGGAGCTGACAACATGGATGCAGCACAGGCTGACGCACACCGAGGCAGAGGAGGAGGTTTTGCAATCAGATGGCAAAGATCGAAGGCCACACCAGGTCGCACGCACATGGAGTATCAAGCAGCAGAGTTGTGGTCGATAATGGGAGTTTTGATTGCCAGATATGCTGCACTACGGCTCAATGGCACAGACGACATGCAACAGAGGAAGTGCGAGAACGAGTTGTCTGCTACCTACCAGCAGCTCAGGAGGTTGGGTTTGGATCAGATCTTTGGGAAAAAGTTTGATCAAGTTGAAGCTGATGAGCGCATGCTAGGCGTGCAGGAGATCAAGACACACACGCTGGACGAGCTTGAGACGTTCAAGGAGGAGATCGACAAGCACAAGGCAATTGCGATATCCAGGGGCATCTCCATCCAGCGGCAGCAGTTCTCCAAGTGGGCAAAGAAGATGTGGGCAGAGAAGCCAGGCATCCTACATAAGCACGTCAAAGATCCAGTGCAGCCGACCTACGAGCAGTATCACCAGGACGCTAGCTCGGCGGATCCAGAGATCCTCATGCATACGAAGAATGGAGAAATGGTTGAAGATCTGGTCGGACGCAGTGGACACCAGAGAAGACATCGCGACTGAGCTGCGGGTCATGCACAGACAGGCCAGAGATGAAGATTTGGAGCCCATCACAACAGAAGAGTTCGACACGGCCATGCAGGCCACGAACCCCAACAAAGCAGGCGGAGTGGACGGTCTCAAGTTGCACGATATCAAGAGGGCTCCGCAGGGGGCACGCCAGAAGCTGGTCGACCTCATCAACATGTGCGAGCAGACGGGCACGTGGCCGAGGCAGTGGACGGCGACGCTCGGGGCCGTGGTCCCGAAACCAGCAGGCGGAGAGAGGGTGTTGGGGATGCTACCCCTACCAGTCAAACTGTGGAGCAGGACGAGGGCGTCACCGCGCAGTGAATGGAGTGAGGCGCCGAGCGCGCATTGGGACACGGCCATCAAAGGCAGCTCGGCGTTGAGGGCTGGTCTGCTCCGCGCCTGCCTCGTCGAGGCGGGGTACGAGCTGGGCATATCCAGCCTCGCCCTCCTCGAGGACATCGAGAAGTTCTACGACAGCGTCAGCCTGGTGATGCTGATGCGCATTGCGAGGAGCATCGGCTACCCAGCAGCCGTGGTGGAAATGGAAGTACTCATCTTCGCGGCGGCACGGTTTCTCAAAGACAGGTCGGCGCTGAGTGAGGCTATATGGGTATCCAGATCGATTGTTGCGGGGTCGCCCAGAGGAGTCAGCCTCGCGAAGGTGTTTCTCCACCCAGTCCTACAGCGAGCGCACATCATATCGCCCACAGCGGGGCCATGGACCTTCGTAGACGACACTGTGGCCCGAGTGGAAGGCACTTCACAGGACACCCCAGATAAGATGGTAAGAGTGGCGCGCGAGCTCGCCCAAGGACTCCATCAACAGAGGCTCAAGATCTCGGACAAGACAGTCATCGTTGGATCCTGCAGGGACATGGTCAAGAGCGTGGCCAGGAGGTTGCAGCAGAACGGCACCCCAGCCAAGGCCAAGACCTTCACGAAGGACCTGGGCCTCGACGCCGCTGCTGGGCGCAAACGAGTTGTAAGGACGCTAAAGAGACGTATCCTGGCAGTCAAGAGACGGTTCGGCAAGATCAAGAGGCTGAGGAAAAGTACCACCTTGACGAAAGAAGCGAAAGGACTATGGTCAACGGGCGCCATGCCCCAGGCCACATACGGACATCAAGCGCTCGGCCTTTCCATGACGGAGCTGATGAAACTTAGAAGACAAGCAGGACAGATCGCAGCAGGATCACAAGGTGGCAAATGTCTGACTACAACACTGGCAATCGAGATGTGGGACAAGGAGCCAGGTTTGGCATTGCGCAAACGAGTTGTTCACGAGTGGCTGGCTATGTGGCAGGTCAATCCCCAGATCCATGCGAGAGTCAAGTTAGCATGGCCAAAGATCAGGCAACGGCTGGTCACGGCTGGACGGAGGAGATGGTCCTATGTCAGAGGGCCGATCGCCACATTGCAGGCCACGCTGATGGACATTGGCTGGCACCCCATCAAGGCGACAGAGTGGGACAGACCATTACCTGAAGGACAGTTGCAGGCCTGGCTTATCCCCAGCGCCACGGACACGGAGTACTCGAACGATTGGGAGAGGATCGCTATCCTGGGAGATGTGGTCAGTGATATGCGCAGCTTGTACTGGCAGCAGGCGTCGAAACACGAGGATGGAGCGGACCTTCACCAAGGAGCTGATGCATGGAGAATCAGAGCAGAACAACGCAAGTTTCACAACGAAGGAGCTTCTGACTTAGCGGCGCTCAACTTGACAGTTACTACAGGTGGGCAGTGGACCCGAACGAGGCGTGCCAGACAAGGATATCTGATTGAGTCCAAGCTTTGCCCGCGCTGCCTGCTCAAAGATGAGAGTTTGTATCACCGCATTTGGGAATGCGAGCAGAACAAGGGCCACGAGGACTTCGAGAAGTCGGAGACGCTTGTGGTGCAGGCGGCGGCGCAGCACGAAGCGTCGCCTGCCCTGTGGCTTCGGGGTGTGCCAGCCGTTGGGCTCACCACTCCTGACTTTGATGAGGCGCTCATCGGCCAGCTTCAGGTGGATTTTTATTCACGTGGCTTCGCCGAATGCAAGGAGGCAGGCAGAGTTCACATTTTCGGAGACGGCTCGGGGGGCAAATATTCTGACGACCCCAGAAGAAGGCGCTGCGGAGCAGCGATCGTGGGGCTCGTGAAGGATTCGGGAGGCGGGTGGACCTTGGGGGAGGCTCTCGGGGTTCCTCTGCTCGGAGATAAGCAAACGGTCCCCCGAGCCGAAGTTTTAGTCTTCTGCCTGGCTCTCGAGCAAGTAGATTCAGATTGCGGTTTCACTTTTGTGACGGATCATAAGACAATCTCCAGGACCTGGAGGGCCCGCTTTCGGTGGCCCAGCCCTGTGGGCACCAACGAAGACCTCTGGACCAGGGCCCGCAAAGCCTTCCAGGCCAGGAGAAATTCAGATGTTGAAGTTGTATGGTTCCCCTCCCACCAAGAGGAGGCCCCAGAGAAATTAGACACGTGCGAGAAACTCTTTTATGCCTCTGGCAACGCCTGCGCTGATTCGTGGGCGGGGGAGGCGGCGGAGTTGGCGTGGAGGGGCGCGGTGGGGAGGGAGCCTGAGACGGACAAAATAGATGCCACAGCTTCGCTGATTCGTCGAAGGGCCAGGAGAGCCCCAGTGCACGCAGCGGAGGCCGAGGAAAACAGTCGGGCGGAGAGACCCCCTTCTAAGAAGGTGGACAGACCGTCCAAGCTGGTGGCCGCGGCACAGGCCTCGGACCACATCCTCGAGCCATGTGGGCGCAGCATGAAATACTGGTGGTGCACGGTCTGTGAGAGAGTGGTGCCCCGCTACCATACGCGGGGCTTTGCGGCCACGATTGCGAAGGCCTGACGGCCGGTGCCGCCGACCCTGTTCGCAATGCGCAGCAAGAGATTACGAGGTTGCTCAAGGTCGGCTTGGCTGGAGCCCAGGGGAAGAGGAGTCCCAGGGGGGGGCGTCGTATCTGACCCGGGGGGGGGGTCGCTACCCCCCCCCCCCTCCCGGCGGGGGAGGGATCAAAGGGAAGGGGCTTCCCTTCGACTCAATTACGAGGTTGCTCAAGGTCGGCTTGGCTGGAGCCCAGGGGAAGAGGAGCCCCAGGGGGGGGCGTCGTATCTGACCCGGGGGGGGTCGACACCCCCCCCCCCTCCCGGCGGGGGAGGGATCAAAGGGAAGGGGCTTCCCTTCGACTCAATTACGAGGTTGCTCAAGGTCGGCTTGGCTGGAGCCCAGGGAAAGAGGAGTCCCAGGGGGGGCGTCGTATCTGACCCGGGGGGGGGGTCGACACCCCCCCCCCCTCCCGGCGGGGGAGGGATCAAAGGGAAGGGGCTTCCCTTCGACTCAATTACGAGGTTGCTCAAGGTCGGCTTGGCTGGAGCCCAGGGGAAGAGGAGTCCCAGGGGGGGGCGTCGTATCTGACCCGGGGGGGGGGTCGACCCCCCCCCCCCTCCCGGCGGGGGAGGGATCAAAGGGAAGGGGCTTCCCTTCGACTCAATTACGAGGTTGCTCAAGGTCGGCTTGGCTGGAGCCCAGGGGAAGAGGAGTCCCAGGGGGGGGCGTCGTATCTGACCCGGGGGGGGGGGTCGACACCCCCCCCCCCCTCCCGGCGGGGGAGGGATCAAAGGGAAGGGGCTTCCCTTCGACTCAATTACGAGGTTGCTCAAGGTCGGCTTGGCTGGAGCCCAGGGGTCGGCTGCTGGCTGTCGGCTTGGCTGGAGCCCAGGGGAAGAGGGGGGTCCCAGGGGGGGGCGTCGTATCTGACCCGGGGGGGGGGTCGCTACCCCCCCCCCCTCCCGGCGGGGGAGGGATCAAAGGGAAGGGGCTTCCCTTCGACTCAATTACGAGGTTGCTCAAGGTCGGCTTGGCTGGAGCCCAGGGGAAGAGGAGTCCCAGGGGGGGGCGTCGTATCTGACCCGGGGGGGGGGTCGACACCCCCCCCCCCGGCGGGGGAGGGATCAAAGGGAAGGGGCTTCCCTTCGACTCAATTACGAGGTTGCTCAAGGTCGGCTTGGCTGGAGCCCAGGGGAAGAGCCCAGGGGAAGAGGAGTCCCAGGGGGGGGCGTCGTATCTGACCCGGGGGGGGGGTCGCTACCCCCCCCCCCTCCCGGCGGGGGAGGGATCAAAGGGAAGGGGCTTCCCTTCGACTCAATTACGAGGTTGCTCAAGGTCGGCTTGGCTGGAGCCCAGGGGAAGAGGTCTCCCAGGGAAAGGGAAGGACAGAGACGACGAGTACAAAGAATGACGGAGATGACGGCTCGAACGGAAAAGCCCCTCACACACGCCGACAGGGTCGGCGGATTTGTTCAGGGCCTCCTGCCGAAGTCAGGAGAGGTGCCCAGGCCGCAGTCGGAGAAAGGTTTGCCCCCTCGTGCCGAGGGAGCGGCTTGTTGGAAAAGGCTCACCCCTCTCACAGGCTCCAGTATGTGGAGAAATGGTTCCTGCACATTTGCACGGAGTGCGGCTCCTATTGCACTGTGGACCCCAGGAACTTAGTTGCCAGATGTGAAGGGCGGACCAACAAGGGTTCGGAAAACCTTGCGAGGATTGGCAAAGGTTTGTTCCCGCGTCGTGAAGGCCCCCCGAGGGCTATTTTAGAGGCCATCAGGGCTCGTGAAGCAGCTGCCTGCGCGGATGTGGCAGCTTTGCACAGGCGTCCGCAGCCGGAAAACCCAGGATCCGACCAGGTTGGCCAGGGTGCTGGGCCTTCGGGGGCCCAGACGGGAGCGGGGACGGACCCCGCGGCTCCTGCCAGGCCAGGCCAGGCCCACGAAAGCGATTCCAGCGATTAAATCGCCTCCCAGGACAGCGTCCGCTATCAAAGAGTCAAAGAGTCCTCCTCCTCCTCCTCCTCCTCCTCCTCCTCCTCCTCCTCCTCCTCCTCCTCCTCCTCCCTCAAACCCAGGATGAGAAGTGCCCGTAGGGAAGAGGTCGGGACTTCTGGGGCCCGCGGAGTGAAAAAGAAACGCTCCATCGGATGCTGGGTTAATTTCACAATTCCACCTCGTCCCTCCCCGTCCAGTGTTTTCCAAACTATTGTCCCCCTCGCCCTCCGACTGTTTACCCTCTCGGTTTTCCCCCTCGGTCCTCTCCCCCTCATCCTCGTTTTCACCCTCGGTCCTCTCGTTCTCCCCCCCTGCCCCCCTACGAGCTAGGGGGAGGGAGACGGAAGGAGATGGACCTGCACACGAGTGTTCGACCCCTTCCGCGGCAGGCCTCGACCCGGCGCCCGAATCTGCTTGCGGCCCGATCGAGGACCGGCACCGTCGTCGTCGTTTCGACGGTTTTTGGGGGGTCCTCGAAGTTCTCGTCGCCACGACTGGACGCGGCTCGAAACGTCGTCGACATGGTCGTCGTCGTCGTTTCGAAGGTTTTTGTGTGGCTCCTCGAGATTATCGTCGCCACGACTGGACGCAGCTCGCAACCTCAGCGAGGATTGACCCCAGAAAGTGTCTGCGGACGGATTTTGATTTTTAGTTCGGGAACTGCAACAAACACACGGGGTTCGGACAAGGAGAGGGCTTTCACCGCTTTCGGCCTTCTCGTGGGCCTTCCCGGGCCAGGGGACTGTCCAAAAACGATCCGAGATGAAGAATTGATCATGTGGAAGTCCTGGGGTCCAGGACCTGTTTCCTTCAGGACCTTCTTCTCGAATAACGAAAATTGCATGAGCATAAACATGAATGTTCGGAGATCTGCGCTGATTTCTTTGATCGGCGATGGACCCCCTTGGTGGCGCCTTCGGCGCCGCCACTGGCACACTTCGCGCTGCAGGGAATGGAGTTCCATCGCCGACCCCAGAAATCCGCGAGGACCTCCGAAAGGTCGTTGCTGTTTCCTCTCATGCCGCGAGGAAGACGTCGCTTATTGGGCATGGTCGCTGCTGGGCGAGATGCACAACGTGCCCAACGCCAGGCCTGCGGGAAAAGACGTGCACCCAAGCCGCTCTCGACGGACCCGTTCTGACCCCGAGCAGCGTCGAACCGCTGAGCATCAGCATCATCTCGAGAGGGGGGGCTTGTCCTGCTGCGTCAAGAGCACCGTTAGGGGTGTTAGGCTCAGAGGGGGATGCGTCGGCCCCCAATCGTCCATTGATCGCCTTATAGCCCACCCGGCGGCTCAGGAAAGTGCGCTTTCGCTATCGAGAGGCTATCGCCGCTGTATGGGCGACGTAACGCCGGTTCCAGGCCGATTTCCCCCCACCCCCCCTGAGCCAGTCACCCCTATCCCTATCGTTTACCCCTCCATGAGCTGTCGAGAGGTCCACCTTCCTCGTGAGGAGGCTTGTCGAGAAGGGTGATGTCCACCATCTTCCTCGATCGGAGGAGAGGAGAGTTGGCCCAAGGTGGGGGAGATTCTTCCACAAGGTCGGAGGGCCATTCTCCCAAAAGAACTCTCCTACCTGGTTCGTGCTGGGCCTTTCTTCGATCCGCCGCCCCCTGTAGATTCATCCATAAGCTGTCGTGAGGCCCACCTTCCTCGTGAGGGTGGGCGTTGGTGGGACGCGGGAGGCCAGACGTGCACGGCCCTTCCCCGACCCAGCGGCTTCTATCTCTCGGTGTGGTCACAGCGGAGGCTCTGAGTTCCTGCCTCCTCCTTTTCGCGTCCATCCTTCCTTCCTTCCTTCCTTCCTTCCTCCTCCTCCTCCTCCTCCTCCTCCTCCTCCTCCTCCTCCTCCTCCTCCTCCTCCTCCTCCTCCTCCTCCTCCTCCTCCTCCTCCTCCTCCTCCTCCTCCTCCCTCATCCGCCTTTCCCTCCTCCGCCTGCTCCTCCTCCCCCATCCTTCTTCCGCTTGCGCTTCCTCGGCTGTGTGCTTCAAGTGACGAGCTGAGGGAATTCAGAATCGCTCTGCCGAGATGCCTCTCCTCCGTGAGAGAAGGAGCGGGAGCTCAGAGCAGAGCAGAGTTCCGCCAGCTTCCCGGGCGGAGAGGCGGAGGGGCGCGAGAGAAAGAGGCACGCCCCTCACAGAGCGTTTGGCCCGCACAGTCGTATCGCACGCTTTCTGGTGGTATCCGCAGGTCTTCTGGATGGCGAATTGTGCTAAGACGAAAAGGGTACTCGATCGATCCTCTCTCAAAGTCGGCGGTCGCTATAAAAGCATCCGACGGGCCAGCGCTGAGGCGCTGGATTGAGGCAGGCCAGACCAGAGGTGTATTTGGGATCGCCCCCCGCAATTGAACGTGCTTCTGAAGGAGAGCCGCAGAGCTGCCCAATGTCAAATCTCGAAGCGTCGAGAGCCTGTGGACTCATCGAAATTTTGGTTGAGAAGGGGACGGATCACAGGCGAACTGGCGCAGAGGTGCTCCTGAGCCGGGCCGTAAAAGCATGTGGGCGGCTCGCGCCCGCCCGCGCCCGTGCACGCATAGCTATTCGCTACCAGCCAGATGAGCGCCGAGAGCATGCCCGGGCTTCCGACGTTGAGACGTTCCGTTCCTTCCTGGCGTTTTTGCTCTCCCTCTCGGCCTCGGGGTGGGGGCGCTACTGCGCACGGGAAAAGTCAAAGAGGGCTCCGAGACGAAGGCCCCTCCCCCCCGCAGACCTTCGACGTCCTGAAGTTTGTTACAGACCGTGGTTCCTCGTCAGCGTTTGCTCACCCAGAGTCGTTGCTGGCGATGCCCAGGCCCCAGGAAGGGCCCCAACCGTCCGTCTTGATTTCTCGGAGGTTGGTAGAGGGGGGAGGCGGAGGAGGAGGAGGAGGAGGAGGAGGAAGAGGAGGAGGAGGAGGAGAGGAGGAGGAGGAGGAGGACGAGGAGGACGAGGAGGGAGGAGGGGGAGGAGGAGGAGGAGGAGGAGAGGAGGAGGAGGAGGAGGAGGAGGAGGAGGAGGAGGACAGGAGGAGGGAGAAGGAGAAGGGGGGGGGGTCCCAAGGTGGGCTCAGGGAATGGGCCCAGCTGGATGCTCACACTTCCTTTTTCCAGAGGCTGTTTGGGGCGGGTTCTCTCCAGCCCCAACCCTGCCCCCGCCCCACCTTCTACGTCCCGCCGTCCTCCTCCTCCTCCTCCACCTCCTCCTCCTCCCCTCCTCCTCCTCCCTCCTCCTCCTCCTCCTCCTCCTCCTCCTCCTCCTCCTCCTCCTCCTCCTCCTCCCCCTCCTCCCTCCCCCTCCCCCTCCCCCTCCTCCTCCTCGAGTGTCGTGACAACGAGGGGTCTGGGCCTGTGGAGCCCTGGCCAGGCAAGTGCCAGGCGCACAGATGCACCCTAGCTCCTTGGAAGAGGCGGCGTCCTCCCGAGGCCAAGCCCGAAGTCACCGACCCGATGCCAGCCCGGGGGCCCTCTCGGCCTCGCGGAGTCCCACAGCTCCGCGGGAGCCAGAAGGGAGAAGGAGAAGGAAGGAGGAGCAGGAGGAGGAAGAGCAGGAGGAGGAGGAGGAGGAGGAGGACGATGGAGGACGATGAGGAGGACGAGGTCCGAGATCCCCAGAGGTCCACAGAGTTCTCTGGAAGTGTTCGGGGGGTCTTATGGCAGAGGCCCACCGATGCTTCTGGAAATCCCTAGAAGCCTTGGAGGCCCAGACAGGGCCAAGAACATTCAAAGTTGGCAGTACAATCCTAATCCCCCGGACGCCCACAGCACAGTGCCAAGGATCGGGATGCGAGTCGCAGTCCCGCCAGTTTCCGGCCCCAAGAGGCGCCCAGTACGGCTCAAGAGGGCGCCCAGACGGCCCCAGTTGGCTCCACGACGGCCAAGGACAGCCCCGAGCCAGCCCAGGATCGCCCCAAGACGGCCCAAAACGATCGAGATGGGCCAAGAGGCCTCCAAGACGCCCAAAGAGGGTTCAAAGAAAACTCCGAGCAGGGCCTCCAGAACCAAACATTCCTTGACTCATAATGTTTGATGAGCTTTCTGGCTCTCACCTTTTCGGACATCAGATCGCCCAAGACGGCCCAAGAGGTCCCCAAGATCGCCCCAGGAAGTCCTACAAAGCTGCCCAGAGAGCTTCGAGACGGCCCAAGAAGCTTTCCGGAGGGCCCAAGAGGCCCCCAAGAGGGCCTCAGGAGAGGTCTCAGAGGAGGCATTCGAATTGCCCTTCGGAACTTCATCCCCCAAGGTAGCCTCCAAGACTTCCGCCCTCGGCTTAAGTCGGGCGTGTCCCTCTACAGGAGGAATATGCAGAAATACTCCGAAAGTCGTCTGGAGAAGATTTGTTTCTATATGTTTGGCCATGTTGGGGTGTTTGTTGGGTATTTCCTGTAGGGGCACATGCCCGAGCTAACCCTCGGCCCTCGGCGGAGGCCGAGTCCACGCGGGGCAGGTCCGCGCGGAGTGCTCGGCCTCCGTCTGGGCTCGCCCCGTCGGGACGTGGCCTCTCGACGGGGGCCCGAGCCCACTCGGAGCCAGTCCGCACCGCGTGCTCGGTCTCCGCCTGGGCCCACCCCGTCTGGGCGTGGCCCCTCCGGGCGGCCCGCGCCCCGGCCCAGGGAGTGCCGCGGCAAGTGCGCGCTGGTGCCCGGCTGCGGCGCCTGGACCTGGGGCAAGGCCCGCGCCTCCGCGCCTCCGCGCGCGCGCGGTCGACGGCCGGGGGCGCCCGGGGCCCTGACACCCGCTCGTGGCGGAGGAGGCACGACGGCCCCGACTTCGGGTTCGCCGTGCTTTGGAGGGATCTCCGACTGTAAAGGAGGATGGCGTCGGGGATGCCCCTCCCCACGCGGGGCGACACAAAAGTGGGGCGGAAGTTCCCGCCTCAGAGCAAGATGGGGCGGCCATTTCCGCAAAGGCAACGGCGGCAGAAGCAGCGACGGCAAGGTTCGGCGGAAATCGGCATCACTGGGGCTTGAAAAGTAGGGCGGACATTGCCGCCCAAGCACCTACAAGTTCACCCAGAGTCAAAGGGTGGGGCTCAGTTTCGGATTGGAGGAGGAGGAGAAGGAGGAGGAGGAGGAGGGGACGGGCCTCGCAGAAAACTACTCGGAGTGAAAAGCCGGTCCCGAAGAAGGGGTTCACACCTCTGGGGAGCCACGCTGCGAAAAAAACGCGACGGGGGGGGGGGGGGCGTTGTTCATTTTAGGCCGCCACTAGGCTTCAGAGCCGTCGAAAAACGATTCGGGATGACAAACTAGTCCCCCAGAAGGGTTCCATGCCTCTGGGGAGCCACGCTGTGAAACGACGTCGGACGTCGGGGGGGGGGGCGAAGGAGTCGGGGGCAACGTTAGAGAGGGGGATAGGCTCAGGGGGGAACACATCGACTCACAATCGCCGATTGGTCACCGATAGGGGCCCGATGGCCCACCCCGAGAAACTTGCGGTTTCGCCATCGGGGGCCTGTTTCCGATCTACCGGCGATGTACCAAGGTTCCTGAGCTGGTCCTCCCTCACGTTCCCCTTCAGTGAGGACCAGAGGGAGGCACCGACGATCGACCCCAACGCAGTCACTAGCGGTCGTTTGATGATATCTCCTCCCCCCATCCTTCCTCCTTCCTCCTCCTGCCCCTCCGCCCTCCCTCCTCCCTCCTCCCTCCTTCCCTCCTCCCTCCCCCTCATCGTCGGAGATCAACAGGGGGCGCCGACAAGCGGGGTGAGGACGAGGCAGGATATCATGACCCCCACGGAGTGGTTTCCAGCACCTGCGCCTCGTCGAGGGCTTTCCCCGGGTGCCTCGCTCGTCCCGAACGGCCGCCAGGGCCCGAGTAATGGTCCGAGGACCACTACGTGGGCGTCAAGCTCGCAACTCCTGAATACCATCACCCTCCCCAGACTCACTGCCGGTTGACGTGGCCTCGTGGACCAACATTCTTCATTGCTCGCCCGCGCGGCGTCGCGTCGGCAGCCGCTCTCGCAGTCGTCCCCAGCGCACAACGTTATAGCCAGAGTACAGAATCCCCAAGAACGGTTTTCGAGCCAAGGTGGTTCCTAAGAGTGTTCGCGCGTCCTCCTGCTTCTGATCCGCTTGCGCCATCGGTGTCGTCGTCGAACGTTTCGTCATCGTCGTCGTCGCCTTCCTTCGCCTCCTCATCCACGTCATGATCCTTCTCGCCCCCGCCCTCCCCCCTTCCATTAATCGTACTCCTCCTCACAAATCCCCTCTTTTCCCCCCGCTCCTGCTTTTTCTCCTTTTCCTCCTCGCGATCCTTCTGCCTATCCTGATCCTCCTTGTCCTCTCCTCCTTCTCCTCCTCCTCTCCTCCTCCTCCTCTTCCTCCTCTTCCTCCGTAGCCAGGTTGGCTCAAGCCATTTGGGTTCAAGCCGTTTTGGCCCCACTCCGCGGCCAGCAATCGTTCTTTCAATGAACTCCTGCTGGAGCAGATCTATCCACAGCGCACAGGGGATCAGTCACCGAGCACATCTCGAGACGACGGCATGGTCCCAGCGCCATGGACGAAGCAGGATTTGATGTGTAAGTTCTGTGCGCACGAAGTCTGGTTTACCCCTTGTCAATAGGAGCACGAACGATCGGTGTTACAAGTGCAAGTTCCACAAGTCGGTCAGTTTCAAGTGTGTGTGCGCCCAGCAGCATCCCCTTCAGCAGACGTCAGCCGCAGCTCAAAAGACCCGAATCAGTCCCTCACTACCATCACCAAACTCGAGCGCCGCGTGTTGGAGCTTGAGAAAGAGAATGCCTCCCCCAAGGAGGGCTAACGGTTTACGGATGGTTGTGGAGGAGCTCGCAGGAAACGAACCTGAATTTCGGGAGGAGATTGACGCGTTGGCCAAACATGTGCAGTGGTTGGAGGTTGTCAAAGGGGATTGGGCGAAGCCGCAGCTTTGGGCTGTTCAAAATCAAGCGGAGGCAGCTCGCAACAAAGCTCATGAGAACAAGCCCCTGGGAGCGAAGCTCAATGTTACTTCCGCGCCGAGTGGAGCATGTCCGTAAGCAGAAGGAGAAGGGCATCGCTGACAAAGCGACGGCTTAGGCGGCGGTGGAGGCAGCCAATCGTGCACGCGCGCAGGTTTTGGAAGCCGTCGAAGATAATAAGTTTGCCTACGAGAGTTTGGAAGCCGAGTTGGAGGATCTATGTCAGCGTGGGCGCCAGTAAACTGAGCTCGTCGTCGATGAAGCGAAGCTGGCGAAGGTGCTCGCTGACGTGGGCGGGATCGGTGACGCCACGAAGGCGGCCCCCTTGCTGGTGGCCGCGCATCGAGAGCGAGGGAGCGAGATCCTTGCTGGACCGCCGAAGAAGTGCAGGCGCCAGGACCATCAGCCTTGGGAGCCCGACAAAGTTGAGCTCTCAACTCTTCGTGAACAAGTCAAAGAGTACGTGGAGGAGGCGGCTGAGGAGGCCATCGCGCGGGCTCGCGCTCGCTCACTTGCAGTCGGCGGCCTTCACGCCTATCGGTCGCCCCCCGGCAGACCGGGGGCGGCGCCTACCGCGACCAGCACAAAAGCAGTCAGTGCAAAGTTGCGCATGGAGGTTTGGCGTGCCCCGATGATTCTTGGCTGAGGCGTTCGGAACACATGGGGGGGGCGATGAGGACACTGCGGTCCCTAGCAGCTTTGTTGATCAATTATCTGACATCAGTTGGGAGGACAAGTCCAATGCCGAGCTGATCGACCAGCTCGAATGGGCCGCGGATTCACAACCTGCGGAGCAGATGCCAGTTCCTACCGCTGCGTCGCCCATGTCCCACAACAGCAACGCCCGGAGCACGATGCAGGGTTTCTCGGAGTGGATTGTTTTGGGCCGGCGGGACCAGTCCGACAAGGTCTTTGGCCAGGGGCATAGTCTGCGCAACGTCGGCCGGCTTCGTTCAGCGCAGGGCTGGGCGCGCGAGCGCGGCTGCGCATGCCTGGCCAACGGATGCGCAGGGGCAGGCAGGAAGAGCACCGAGAAGTCCAACGGCGCAGGTATTTCGATTGCGTCAAACGTGGCGCGCGTCGAGTACAAGCACCAGATCGAGCGCGACAAGGCCAGGCTGTTCTTCCAGCGCGCGATGCTCGGAGGGACGCAGGCCATGCTCGTCTCGATCTATGATATTTGCGGCGAGGAGCTGCTTGCGCCGCGGAGCTGAAAGCTGGGCTGCTTGAGATTCTTCGAGCGGCATGCCCCCCTTTTTTTATTGCTGCAGGAGATTGGGATTTTGAGGCTGAGTGTTTCGGCCGAGGCTCGTCTCTCAAGACCGGTTTCAAGATTCCGTTGCGCGCGGTCGTCGCGCGCGGTGGCGCGCCGACGCGCGACGATGCCCATTTGGGTTTCTGCGTGCGCCGCGACGTTTTGCCCCCCTTTGCCAGGTCGGCTTCGGCCTTGGAAGCCACGCCCGCTGGACCCCGCAGGGCCGCCAAACTCGCCCCAGCTGGGCTCGGGGGCCAGAGCAGCAGATGCAGACGGGCCAAACCCGAAATCTTTGAGCTGCATTAGTCGTTTCAGGCCTTCGCGCGTGTCTCGGATTGGCCAGGCTTCGAGTTGAAAGTCGGTGAGTCCACGGGCAATCCGACGCGCCGCCGGCCCCATTCAGCGGGGACTGCGTTTTGTTTCGCGCGCGTTTCTTGCCATTCCAGCGCCAGGCAGGCGGAGATATGGCGGTCGAGAATTCGGTTGTCATCTGGAAAAAGTGCCCCTGACTTGCGAATGAGGAAGGAGCCTCAGGAGGAATGCCAGTCCTCTCACCCAAGAATGGTTAAGCATCAGGCGTCTCACCACGCAATGGCTCCGCGCGTCGGGCCCCGCCAGCCCCGCCCAGCAGAGGTCAAATGCCAGGGCCGAGCGACGGCTCAGGGAGCCCGGGTTTGCTCGGGGCGTCGGAGGGGGGGGGTCGGTTCGGACACGGTCGGTTCCGCGAGGAGCGATTGAAAGCGGTTTTCGCCCAAGAAGCTCTCAGATGAGCCGCCTGCAAGTTCGCCCAAGATAAAGCGCTGACGCACGCGGCTGCTGACGCAGCCCCCGCCAGAGCTAGTTGGAGGAATTGCTCGGAGCCCGCGTTTCAGAATGGCGCTGTTTTAGCGCGCCGCTTTTTCCAATGGGCCCAGGGGCGCGAAACTTGAGGACCAGGGTTCGAGCGGCCTCCCTGCCGTAGGTCGCGACGCACTCCAGACGATGCTAGGTGGATGGGTGAGCTTGCGGGCTGCTCCTGAGCGCAGTTGCAAATCTCACCCTCTCACCTGGGGCGTCGGAGCGTCTCCGCAGCTTCCAGTGATCGAGGCGAAGCGCGCCAGATCTGCGCTGCAAGGCCAAGACTGCGCCAGGGCGGGGCGGCGCCCATCCGCGTTGGATCGATAGCTTGCCAGAAGTCTTGATCGTGGGCTCTCACTGCCCTGTTGCAGCGCTGGTGGGGGGGGGGCCAGGGGGCGCGGACACGACGTTGCATCTCATTGTGTTTCTCGCCAAGCTCCAAGGAGGAGCGCGCCCCAATGCCCCCCCCCCCCCCCTGCCAGGTAGGATTTGGTTTGGGCTGAGACATGAGGAGGTAGCAAAATATGAGGCCACCCTTGGGGACAAGTCCTTTTTGGGGCTCCTCGTCTACTAAACCAACGTGTAATATGTTGGCTTAAATTCGCGACGCGTTGTCGAGTGCATCCCCTAAGTGCAACCTCATCAGTGTTAGTGCGCTCGTAGATCTCAGGAAATCACACGAAATGAACAACCATGGTGGACTTCTATGTGTTGTCAAGGACACAGGCTTTCCGACTCGGCTATTGAACCCATTGCACAGTGGGCCTAGGAGGGCCGCGCGCAGCGTCCCACGCCAGCCGCGCTGCGCGCAGACGGGCCGGCCATTGCAGGATGCTCGCGCGCCACTGGACCGGCGAAACCGACGAGGGTCACCACGCAGACACATCGGCACGGGATACCCGGCGGCGAGGATCAAAAACCATATATGGCATCATCCCCCACCCGGTCGGAGGCGAGCAGGTCGCGATCGAGGAAATGATCTGCCTTGCAGCATCTATTTGAAGGCCTCAAGGTGAAGGGCCTTCCGATCTCCCTGGGCGAGATGGGCTTGCTCGTCAGGGACCATAAGCCGCTTCTTGAAATCGCCGCAGACGTCCTTGAGTTCTGGCCCGACCATGTCCCGTTCCTGAGGCGCCAGGAGCACCGTCGGGATCTCGGAGGGGACACTGTTGGCGGTCGGCGTCGGCGCATCGGGGCCCAGTTGTGGAGGGGCCAGGAGGCCATGAGGAAGGGCGATCGGATTCAGGGCCTTGCATGGCCTTGGGGTGGAGCATTCCGCGGTCTCGAGTTGGCGCGCTTGCCAGAAGTCTCTGACGTTGCAGTATTGCCGGGGCGCCAAATGGCCGCGCGCAGCAAGTCATAATGTCCTTCCTGAACGTCGCTGGCAGGTTCCGACAAGGGGCCCATGTTGGCACCGCCCTACAGTTCGCAGAGAGTGGGTGGCGCTCAGACCTGCTCGTGATTGCACTGTCAGATGCGACGCAGACCTTCGTCGCGATTCTGGCAGTGGGTACGGTCGCAAGTAAGCTGGTGAATGATTGGATCGCGGAGGCTCGCCCGTTGCTTCAGGACCCTCACGCTTGTGACACAGCCAGGAACCCAGTCGCAGCTTTGTAGTGTCGCTGCACAGGATTGGCTGGTCTTTGGCTTGAACGGAGGATGTCAACGATGATGAAGAGGAAAGGAGCTGGAGTGCATCAGATTACTCGGCTGAGGTTTTTTTTCTGACATGGTCAAGAAAGGAACGCAGAGACACATCAGTCGCCACGCGCTGCGTCTCTACACGGAAAACAAAGAGAACGCAGGCTCGGCGAAGTGTCGCGGGGGCCGCTCCAGCCGGCCAAGAAGGCTGGGAGGCTTTCCCCACATGAGAGAATCGACTTGGGAGGTCTCTGTTCAGGTGGGCACTGGTGTCAGGCTCGGGTCGCGCGTGCGTTTCCTAATCAGAGTCACTTACGCACCAGATGTGGCATTGCCCCTGGGACGTTGTTTCACGCGTATTCCTGCTGCGACGCCCATGCCAGTCAAAGACGGACGTTGATCCCATACCTCGTTCGGCTATCCGCAGTGGAGATGGGCAAGTTGCCGCATGCCATGCTGGGACAGCTTGCCAGGAGGATCTTGCAAAGTCCAGCGCAGGCGTTCTTCAAGCAACCCGGATCGGCGGAGTTTGGCTTCATTGGCGTTGACCAGATTGGGGTGATTCTTGTTGAGATCGGCTGCACGTTCGTCGACGGCGGCGGCATGCTGACTGACGTACCTGAGCTCAGAGGCGCTGGGTGGGCTGTCATTGCACATGACAAAGATAGAAGGAGAGTTGGGCGTGTCTGCGGCTCGGTTCCTAGACAGTTTGGGCCATGGCGAGTGGCCAAGGACGGGGGGGGGCTACGCGATATGCCAGGCCAGCCGATGGCCCTCGGCACGTGGACCCTCCTCTCGGACTACGAGAGTTCACCTACATGCTGTCAGAACCTCGAGTGGGCCACTGGAGCCAAGTGCCCCCGAGCTCGAATTTGGAAGGTGACCAAGATGAGGGAGGATTTCCCGGACCAGCTCTATGTCAAAGTCAAAGGCCACTGGACGTTGAACGACGTCCGTGGAAAACGTACCCCCCATTTTCAGAAGGATGGCAACGAGAAGACAGGTGCCAAAAGTGGAGCCAGGCATCATCTTCCACCCGAGCAGCAGGTCTTTTTTTCGCGAAGGGTTGCCGGCGCTTCCATCGATTGCTGCTCGACTTATTAGCGAGGTTTCGCGTGCGGTTCCTTGCCCGAGACGAGGAGCTGCTGGACATTTCCCCAGCGGTTGAGGATGAGGAGGTGGCGATCGAGAAGGCGGTGCAGCAAGAGTCTCAGTTTGCAGAGCCATGGTATATCGGCCAGCACGCTCTGTGCGAGTATCGAGCTTCTGTGGAGTTCAGGCTGGTTATATGCACTTCGTGCTGCAAGTATTGCAATACTGACTCCCACAAAGGCCTAGATGCGGCGTGCCCGGATCGACTGTCGAATGGTAGGATGGCTGAGAACACGAGACAGTTCCTGAATCCCAGGCATCCGCGAAGTGCCACGAATCATGCGAGATCGAAGGCCCGTTGATGCCATCTTCGGGGACGAGGACGCACGTGTGTGAGAAGAAGCGATGGACGGACCCCTGGGTGGACACGGTGGTGACGATGCTTGCTCGCAATCTGGGGTCCTGTCGCGAGGCCGAGGCAAAGTACCTCCTCCTCCTCCTCATGCTCGCTGTGCTTCTCTTAGTATTCCTAGTATTCCTACTTGCTTTCCTCCTCCTCCCCCTCGTCCTCGTCCTCCCCCTCGTCCTCCTCGTCCTCGTCCTCCTCCTCTTCCTCATCCTCCTCATCTTCCTCCTCGTCCTCGCATTCCTTCTCGCCCCCCTCATTCCAATCGGAGGGGCAAGAGGTCATGATAATGATACGTTCCTAGATTTCCACGAATCCCTGAATATCCCGATGCTCGACACGGGCTGCAGAAGCGGGGGCCCCCAGGTATTCCAGAAATCCTGAGACTGACCCTGAGCCATTCGCATCCCGACATCACTCTCGGTCGAAGGAGGAGGAGGGCGAAGAGGAGGAGGAGGACGAGGAGGAAGAGGAGAAGAAAGAGGACTCCCTCCCCTCCCTGTTCCCCTCCGCGCCCCCCGCTCGCCCCGCCCCTCGGATCCATACCGGCGGCCCTCGCCGAGGGCATCCGCCTGCAAGAGCCCGCTGCGCAGGGGCAGCGGTCTTCAGGCCTGGCAGAGTGTCCCCATCCGCGTCCCCCGCTCTCGTCCTTCCACCCCATCTCTGCGGCCCCCGGCCACGTGGCTGTTTCGTTCCAGCCTTGGACCCCAGGGGGCTCGACCTCTTTCCAGGGGCCCGTGTTCCGTCCTGGGCCGTGTTCGATGGTCCCCAGACCACCTAGGGGCTGAAACCGAAGAACATTGGTGGCAGGAAACGATCACGTCGTCGAAAGCGTTTTTCCTCGAGTTGGCGGCGTCTGCGTCTCGCGGCGCCTCCGAGCGCCCGCTGGAAGGCTCGCGGCGTGGACGACCTGTCCGACATATGTTTCCTGAAGGGCCACAGCGCCAAACTACAGGACGCCTGGGCATGGGGGCGGTGGAGCTGCTCATGTACGCGCGTATGATTATATATATATATATATATATATATGGGGAAGATTCCCGTACAACATGTTGAATTAATTTAATTGTTCCAATTAAGATAATTAATCCGTATGCTTTAAGTATTTAAATTAATTTAAGATAATTAATCCGTATGCTTTAATTTAAGTATTTGAATTAGTTTAATTAGTTTAATTAATCAATTACATTAAATGGATGCATTACTTAAATGAATCAAATTAGTTGCTGTTTTTTCTCAAAATTAATTCATTCAATTAAGTTAAATCAAACTAAGTTAAAATAAATAATATCAATTATCTAGTTTAGCTTGTTTCGCTTAATACGTTGGCCTTTCCTGCACAGCCTCCGGCGAACGTTGAGGGCAGCATAATTAATTGAACTAATGAAAATAATCCCTACATGTTAATTAAATTATTCACTGCGTGGGGATCCCCATATGTGCATCTCCTTGTTGGCGCTCCATTGGTGGTGGGACTCGGTGAGGACGAATCTGGATTTAAGTGTGACTGAGCTGCCTCTCTCTCTCTCTCTCTGCTCTCTCTGTCTCTCTCTCTCTCTCTCTGCCCTCTCTCTGTCTCTGCCTCTCTTTCCCTGCCTCTCTCTCTCTCTCTGCCTCTCTCTCTGCCTCTCTCTCTCTGCCTCTCTCTCTCTCTGCCTCTCTCTCTGTGCCTCTCTCTCTCTGCCTCTATCTCTGCCTCTCTCTCTCTCTCTCTCTCTCTCTCTTCTCTCTATTCTCTCTCTGCTCTCTCCTCTCTCTCTCACTCTCCCTCTCTCTCTCTCTCGCTCTCTCTCTTCTCTTCGCTTCTCTTCTCTTCTCTCTCTCTCTATCTCTCTCTCTCTCTCTTCTCTCTCTCTCTCTATCTCTCTCTCTCTCTCTCTCTCCCTCGCTCTCTCTCTCTCTCTCTCTCTCTCTCTCTCTCTCTCTCTTCGCTCTCTCGCTCTCTCTTGCTCTCTCTCGCTCTCTGTCGCTCTCTCTCGCTCTCTCTCTCTCTCTCTCTCTCTCTCTCTCGCTCTCACTCGCTCTCTCTCGCTCTCTCTCGCTCTCCTCTCGCTCTCTCCTCGCTCTCTCTCTCTCTCTCTCTCTCTCTCTCTCTCTCTCTCTCTCTCTCTCTCTCTCTCTCTCGCTCTCTCTCTTCTCTCGCTTCTCTTCTCTCTCTCTCTCTCTATCTCTCTCTCTCTCTCTCTCTCTCTCTCTCTCTCTCTCTCTCTCTCTCTCTCTCTCTCCTCTTTCCCTCTCTCTCCACTTTCTCTCTCTCTCTCTCTCTCTTCTCTCTCTCTCTCTCTCTCTTCTCTCTATCTCTCTCTCTCTCTCTTCTATCTCTATCTCTCTCTCTCTCTCTCTCTCTCTCCTCTCTCTCTCTCTCTCTCTCTCTCTCTCTCTCTCTCTTCTCTCTTCTCTCTTTCTCTCGCCTGTCTCCTCTCTCAACTCCCCCTCCCTCTCTCTCTCTCTCTCTCTCTCCGCTCTCTCTCTCTCTCTCTCTCTCTCTCTCTCTCTCTCTCTCTCTTTTTCCCACCCGAGAGCTTTATTATCTCCCACATCCTACTCTTCCTCTCCATCCTGTATGTGTGTTTACATACTGCCACACGTCGGTCTCCTCCGCTGCCGTTCGTTCTCAGGCATCTTCGATGCGAGTTGGACCCAAAGTGTGCTCACAGTCCAGCCCGTGACACTGCCCTCCGTTGGAGGGTTCGAGCTTGCCAGCGATTTCAGTACTCAAGGCAGTGGTGGTCGCAAACAGGGACTCTCTCATAGCTTGGTTCGACACGGCCTACTCAAGGCGACGGGGAGCCAGGGATCGCGCGCTTCATAGTGTACGCTACGTGTGTGAGCCCGACGCGTGTATCAAGCAAGTTGTTCTTCTTCTTCGTCTTCTTCTTCTAGCACGTGCCCCTCTTCATCCATGCCTCATTCAGTCCTCGACATCTTGGGTGATAATACACTACTCAGGGTCATTCGTGAGTCCTTAGCCCTTCGGGCAGATTGGTTGCGATGTTTGGTACAGTTGAGTTCGACGACGTACTCTACCCTCGGGCCGTGGCTATGGCACCTCGAGGATCAGTGGCGACAAGTCACCCAGGAGGTGAGGATCCGTGCGATTCAGACCAGCTGGTGGAGCGATCACGCCCCATCGGAGTCAGACTCGGAGTCAGCGACATCCTACGTGAGCTGGATAGACCAGAGATACATGATGGGAGATGATATGGAGCTCGACTGACCAGCGCACCAGAGCTGACATCCGTAGATCCGACCTCGGGAAGTTCTGAAGTTTCGAGATTTCTCATGCCGTACCCTTCTGCCCATCCAGGGGTTTGCCAATTCACTGTCCAGTTCCTCCAGCGCACCTTGAAAAAAGATTCAGGTTTGACTCAGGGTGAGGTTGGCGCACACATACGAGAGTGGGTTTGGCAACGTAGGGGACATCGTCATATATGTGCTATCATTACATCGGGATCGATAGAAATACGTCAAAGAAGATATGTCGACGACATCATAGGCATCAGCAAAGTATATTGTAGGTTATGCGTGTTCAAGTACTTGACAGAAGCTTATCACGTAAAACTATCTCCAGCATGTGTTTTGGAAGATCCTGAAAGTCCGTGTATTTGGTTAGATATGGAAGTTTGGCCCCATGGGAACACCCTCTGGATTGCCCCCAAGAATGACAACAGGATCTGGCTCCACAAGACCTCCGAGGGCCCCCGTCCGAAGACGAACATCCTCCCGTGGCCAGGCCAGCCCCCGAGGGGCTTCAACATGATCGTGGCGCTTTTCTCGGGACGTCAGATTCGGGCCCAGTTTCTGGAGTTGTCGGTTCCCGTCGCGGTCTCCTGGATACTGGAGCTGGCCCTGGAGCTCTACCTCGTGGGCTACCCCTCGGCGGTGATATGTGCCGCGACCCATGCCTGTCCGCGGTCCGTTGCCATACAGAAGGCTCGAGTGATCCTTCGTCGTTGGCGTTCTTCATGCGAGACGGACGCCACCATGGGTGGAGAAGGACGCCGTCCGTCTTGGAGCTACCGTGGAGGTGAGCGAGATGAGAGGTGGCGCTCCTACGACGGGCGGTACGACTCGCAAGGGAAACGCGATGATCGCGACAGGGATCGGGACCGCGATCGCGATCGTCGGGACTACCGTGACGGCCGGGGGGACAGCCGTGAGCGGCGTCACAGTCCAGGGCGCGGGGGAGACCGTGGAGGCCGTGGAGACCGTGAGCGTGGAGGCTCTTCTCGTGATGACCGCGACCGCGGGCGGGATGGAGGTGATCGCCACTCGGACCGTTCTCGAGGTCAACGCCAGAGATCCCGCTCAAAAGATACGGCCTCTGCCCCCGGCATCATCAAGATGAGGGAAAACTTGGCCAAGGCAGATCCAAAATACCAGGCTTTCGTGAAGGGCAAGAAGGACAGGGCAGAGGAACTTCGCTTACGTAAGCAGGGAGAGTACCTAGCCCTGGCGATGAAGAGTTCATTCGGAGACAAGATGGCGAAACTCTTGGAGGGCGACAAAGATCAGAAGGCTACACAGTCCGCTTCGAGGCCCGACATTCGTGACACTTCGCCGACGCCAGTTGCTGAGGCCCCCTCGTCGGATGCCTACATGCGCCGTGCTGAGCAAGGGTGGTTGCAGTCCCTACTGGGCAAGAAGAAGACGTTGCCCAAGCGTGTGACGTGGGGCGAAGCAGCCAGCATCCTCGAGAAGGCGATGTCCAGCGACAAGGGCATCACGGGCAACGTGAACAAGTGCATCCAGGCGCACTGTCCCAGGAAGCAGGTGCCCAAGCAGAAGTCTAAGGCGGCGGCGATGGTCTTGAATATCGTGAACGGTAGCGCCCTCTGAACCGACACCGACTCGGAGTCATCATCAGAGAGTGAAGCTGAGACGATCATAAAAACTACTTCTACCTCTAAGAGTTCGACCTCTATGGCATCGTCATCTATGGAGATGGTTTCGTTTCAGTTCTGTGTGATTGGCTATGCAGCTGGCCTGATATCAGCCCTCTTGCTGTGGCTAGTCTTTCCTGTGGATGAGTGGGGCCTCATGAAGGTGATGAAAGCCTACGTGACGCTCAATTGGACCCACACCAGAGAGACGTGGTTTCTTCAGGAGATTTCAAATTCTACGCAGCTCCCCTTCACTTTCGCCAATGGGGAGGAGCAGGCTGTGGTGAAGACGATGATCACAGGCATGGTAGGCGCTGCCATCCCCGTCGTCGCTGGTCGTCCCACTGGCCTCCCCGTCCCCATGTGCACCCCGAGTGGCAGAGTCCCCAAGCCGAGTAGAAGGAGGATTCCAATTAGTGATGCCTCTGGCAACCTCCAGATTTATCGTGAAGCCCAGGGCTGCGTTTTTGGTCTCCCTCTTACCCTACCTGCTCCCTTACGTAACCCATCATCCTGCCCTCCCTCACTCTTCCCGCTCCCACCAGAATGCGTGCGACCCTGTCATGGCTAGGGTGTGAGTGGCCTGTGCTGGAAGGCTGACCAGGCGTGCTCACCGCATCCCGTGTCCCTGCCCTATGCTCCCGTGCCTGGGCTGTTTCCACACGTCTACCAACCTCTCCCTTGTGCCAGCAGCCGTCACCAGCGCTCCCGAACTAGGCCGCCCGTGCTCCCGTGGGTGCAACACCGCCTAGCAGTGTCGCGGGGAGCTTTTTGGGGCGCTCTCTCTCTCTCTCTCTCTCTCTCTCTCTCTCTCTCTCTCTCTCTCTCTCTCTCTCTCTCTCTCTCTCCCCTCCTCCCGAGCCTCCCTAAGCCTCCCTAAGCCTCCCTAAGCTCCCCCCTCTTCCCCCGAGAGAGTGTGTGCCATCCCGACGGGGGATGATCCATCTACCAGCGCTCCGTGGCGAGGACCGCGGCGCCGCCCTACGGCCGCGCGTTGGGCCTCTCTCTCTCTCTCTCTCTCTCTCTCTCTCTCTCTCTCTCTCTCTCTCTCTCTCTCTCTCTCTCTATCTCT